TGGCACAGAGTTTCGATGTATGCTATCTTATTTTGAGGAACGTGGCATTTTATTTCAAACCTCTTGTGTTCATACACCTCAGCAAAATGGCCGCGTGGAGCGTAAGCATCGTCATATTTTAAATGTGGCTCAGGCTCTTATGTTTCAAGCTAATGTTCCGTTGTTTTTGTGGGGTGAATGTGTTCTGACCGCAGCTTACATTATAAATCGCACTCCGTCGGGTATTTTGGGGGGAAAAACTCCCTATGAAATTCTTTTTGGGCGTGCTCCTGATTTTGGTCATTTGCGAGTCTTTGGATGTTTGAGCTTTGCTCATAACTTGCAGACCTGAGGGGATAAATTTGCTCCTCGGAGTCGGAAGTGCGTGTTTGTTGGATATCCGTCCCAGAAAAAGGGGTGGAAATTATATGACTTTGATACTGGTGATATCTTTGTTTCTCGGGACGTTCAATTTCATGAACATGAATTTCCTTTTGCTCAGCCGCCCCCCTCGGCACCATGTGACCCCACGGATACGACTATTGTTCTTCACGATGAGCCCATGGATACTCCAGCTTCGGCGGATAATACCGTGGAATTTTCTGAGTCGTCATCTTCTACTACTGCCGAATCCTCACTTGCAGAACACACTCTTGGCCGAGGTATGCGTTCCAAACGCACTTCGGTTTTATTGCGGGACTTTGTCACACATCATGTACGGAAATTGAGCCCATCTCCGTCGACATCTTCTCCTCTCAGTTCCTCAGGTACGCCCTACTCTATAGCTCATTATGTGAATTATGACAAATTTTCTGTCTGTCATCGTATGTTTCTCGGAGCAATTCTTGCAGGCAATGAACCTCGTTCTTTCCGCGAAGCTATGACTGATCCCGGTTGGAAGGCAGCCATGGAGAGCGAAATTCGTGCTCTTGAGAGTAAGCACACTTGGGATATGGCCCAGCTCCCGTCCGGTAAAACGGCTCTTGGTTGCAAATGGGTTTACAAAGTCAAATATCATTCAAATGGCACGGTGGAACGACTTAAGGCGAGACTCGTAGTTCTTGGCAACCACCAGAGAGAGGGCATTGATTACACAGACACTTTTGCACCAGTAGCAAAGATGGTTACGGTTCGGGTTTTACTTGCACTCGCTGCCGCTAAAAATTGGGAATTACATCAGATGGACGTCCACAACGCCTTTCTCCATGGTGATTTGGCTGAAGAGGTCTACATGAAACCTCCGCCAGGATTTTACCCGTCTCGGCCTGACCTAGTGTGCCGCCTCCGCAAATCTCTTTTTGGTTTACGTCAAGCACCCCGATGTTGGTTCACAAAACTGACTAGTTCTTTGCGGACCTATGGTTTCAGGCAGTCGTACTCTGTTTACTCTCTGTTCACATATCATAAGGGTGATATCTCCTTACACGTACTCATTTATGTAGATGACTTAATTATTGCCGGCAATAATTCTGCGGCATTATCACGCTTTAAACGCTATCTTCACACGTGCTTCCATATGAAAGATTTGGGACCTCTCAAATATTTCCTTGGGATTGAGGTGACCCGCAGTCCGGAGGGGTTATTTCTATGTCAACGCAAATACACTCTGGACATTATCTCTGAAGCCGGTCTCTTGGGTGCCAAACCAGTGGCTTTTCCTATAGAACAGAACCATTCGCTAGCCTTGGCTACGGGGGACCTACTTCCTAACCCCGAGTCATACCGACGGCTAGTTGGCCGCCTCATTTATCTCTCTTTCACCCGGCCGGATCTGGCTTATGCTGTTCACATTCTCTCTCAGTTTATGCAGGCACCCCGACAGGAACATTGGCAAGCTGCCCTTCGTGTAATTCGCTACCTGAAGGGTTCCCCAGGCCAGGGTATTATACTATCTGCTTCTTCCGATTTGCAGCTCACTGGCTGGTGCGACTCCGACTGGGCAAGTTGTCCTCTCACTCGACGCTCTCTCACAGGGTGGATCATATTATTTGGGAACTCTCCAGTGTCCTGGAAAACTAAGAAACAACATACAATATCTCGTTCTTCTACAGAAGCCGAGTATCGTTCTATGGCGGCAATCACTTCGGAATTAAAATGGCTCAAAAGTCTTTTAATGTCTCTCGGGGTGACACACTCACGACCTATATCTCTACGCTGTGATAGTCGTTCTGCACTCCACATCGCACATAATCCCGTGTTCCACGAACGCACCAAACATATTGAGGTTAACTGTCACTATGTTCGTGACGCCATTCAGGATGGCACTCTTACTGCTCATCACGTTTCTACCAATGATCAACTAGCTGACATTTTCACCAAGGCTCTCGGTCAGCGACAATTTCATTTTCTTCTCGGCAAGTTGGGCATTTTTAATCCCCATGCTCCAACTTGAGGGGGGTATTAGATTACATTATATGGGCTTGTAATTTAAATCTTTAGATTGGTTAGATTACTACGTACATAGTTGGGCCAAGGGCTCTTATTTAGACTTAACCTCATGTATATATATAGGAGCTCTCTTGTACATGGAAGGCAATAATACAATTAATAATATTCCCTAAATATTGATAAGGGAGTATATAATTTGAACATTTTTAGTGTTGCCAAACACTAAAATTGTATGGGTGTGAATATACTTGTATATCTGTAGACCATGCCTAGAAGGCATCAATGCTGACCGACCTTTACAGTTGCATCTTTACCACACATCCGTGGAAGCAGTGTAGTATTCCAACAAGTTACACCAAGAAAACTACAGGTCAGGAATGTGACATCCAAGTCATTGTTTATTTTTAAATTAGAAGTAAAAAAAAAACAGAAGCCTACCAAATTTTGTTGCTTATAACCACTGGTAGGTACTGATGGTTACTCCTCTTGAGTCATAAACAACATGGCTCAGACACAGCAAAAACAACAAACCGTAAAAACATTCAAAAATGCTACTTGTACAAATGATTACAAACTTCTAATAATTACAAATGACCAAGGCGTGATTTTACATGGATAGATTTCATATGGGCAATGTGTTTTGTACACACCATTTTACACGTTCGTTTACACGCTAAATATATTTTGTATGTGCACATACAATTGACTAAAGGAACTGTCTGTGACCCCGAACTGTCTATTCATAGACAATTCACTTTTCCGAGGTCAAAGACAATCCCTTTACATGAAAATTAATTCTATCTGCACAAACAAAATAAATTTGGCGTGTAAAGAGACGTGTAAAATCACGTCTTTGGTCATTTGTAATTATTAGAAGTTTGCCTCTATATAATTATAGCATTTTACCATTTTATTTAATGAGTGTGACACAACAATATTTCCAGTTACGTAAATTAAGCTTGTTTGTGATGTATGATGCCCAAGGGGGGAAACGCACGTGCACATAAGTATCAATGGATGTCGACCTTCTTTTATTAAAAAAAGGTTGTCTAGCTTGGTTTTCCAATCCAACATAATCTGTTTCTAAGAATTAATTTTATGAATTAATTAAAATATATTTGAGGTCATTTATTTTATACTCGACCATTTAAATATATAATTAAAATGTATCGTGAATTCATTGTAAAAATAACATTTTGGAAACACTAATTCATTAAAAGATATCCTTTTGCATATGTGGTAACTTCACATTGTGTCGGTTGGGGCCGGTATTCAAATTTCAAATAAGGAAAATGATTTTTTTTTCATTTGCGGATACGTAGTAATATCTTTAATATCAAAAGGTAAAAACGATATCTTTAGTACTTCCCGTTCCATAAAATTATTCTTACTTTCATTTTTGAACCGTTTCAAAACATTCTTTTCACTTACCATTTTTGAATAATTATATGGTTCACATTCATTTCACATTTTTCTTAAACAACCACAACCACACATTTTCACTTTATTTCACTTTCTTAATATCTGTGTCAAGTCAAAGTGAGAAGAATTTTGTGGAACAGAGGTAGTATTATACTCGTAAATGAAGGAAAATGTTCACAATATCATAAATAAATATACACTTTTTAATTGTAGTCAGCTTTAATACTATCCCTCATTTTTAGTCTGTGTTAAATTACGCGCCGTTTTTTTTATTTATTTCTTATCGAAAATAAAATAAATAACATAGTTATTTTCTAAATATGTGTGCCTAGTATAACGAGGACTTTATTAAGCGACGAAGTAAGGAACAAACATGCAATTTATTGTACGTAATACTGCTTCTCCCAAAACAACTCCTTGATTAAATAAACTTCTTTAATTTGAGTATTCCAACTTCTTTATTTTTTTCCTGAAATATTCATGTTGCCAATATAAAATATTACTGTATGTTGAAGTGATAAAGAAAGTAAACTGAGATATACTCCATATATTTTTGCTAAATAATGAAAGATGGTGTTATTTAGGGAGTCTAAAAAAGAATAAAAAAAGTTTAAAAGGGAAGGAAGGACAAATTATTTGTCATGCTCACTACGGAACACGTTGCCGTGATAAATAATCATCCGAGGTGAGCTAGGGGGTTAACCTCGGCCTCACCCACCCCAAATTTAAAATATTCCTTTATTTTTAGTATCAAAACTTCTATGTAAAAAAATATTCACAAAAAATATTTTTCTACCGGGCTAATGCCCTGTCTCCGCCATGATGATCATCATTCACAACCCCATCACTGAAGCCCCTCAACCCCGATCAGACGGTACATTGGGAGGATGTAAATTGGACTATATTCCCAATCTGATAGATAGAGAGTGGGGCACTGTTCCCGGTACTTGCAGAGGTCCTATGCATTTTTAGCATAATAACCCCTCATCGCAGTTGCCGGAATTCGAACCCGGGATCTAACCCTTCTGGCACTCTCTTGCTACCGGTTGAGCTACGCCCACCGATATGATCATCATTCACCCATCTAAAAATTAGAGAAGACAGGGGCTATTAATCACACCAATGTGCTCCGTAATGGGCACATTGACATGCTCCATGAACATGAGAATATGAACGCAATGAAGAAAAGAGGGGATGGAGAGAAGTCTTACGTGAGAAAGAGGGGGTTTGGGATGGAAAGGAAGAGGGGAGAGAGGGCATCCAAGAACACTGAGGAGGATCCTGTGGTCGGGTTTCCTGCCGGGGAAGAACAAGTGCAGAGACGAAAAGTGGGTTTTCACCCACTGTCTCCAAGTGCGGCATTTCTTCGAGCAGTTGTTGCCCAATTCCTCGCCGGCACTCGGAACTTCTGCTAATGGCGCCAGCCGACTCATGGCAGCAGCTTCCTAATTAACTTAAGTCCATTGTTATTTCTGATGTGATGATTCTTCTACTCTGTTAGTGGATTCCGCTGAGCTCTATCTTAAATTTGAGAATCTGAAGAACATTGATTATCGATCCGTAGATATGATGTTTGAATGGTATGTAGTACGAAACTACGAATGGAGTCATAATTAAGAAAGTGCTTTCTTAAATAGAGACATAGAGTAGCATTCGACGAGGTGTACCTTAACCCCTGCTTCTTTACCTTGGTCGAAAAAGGTGAAATCTCCCACCCCACCCCAAGATCCTCATCCCGACCCGACAGGATGGTGGAGGAGTTAATCACGGTAACTCAATCAGCAAAGTGGCAATAGGCCTTATACACGTGCGCACCAGAGGTCCAACCTTATTTTAGGTTCTGTAACCTCCACACGGCCGCTGTGGGTTTCGAACTTTGGTCACTTGGTCTAATGTTTCCACCACTCGACCAAGTGAAGTACCCATGCGAGTGAACCACTGCTTCTTTAGCTGTGTGCGTCACCTCCTATTAAAAAATAAAATTTCTCTTTGTTTCTTACAGTCTTACACATAAGGGAGGAGCCAAGGGCTCGGGTTGGACGGATTAGGCTACTCTTCACAAAGTTTGAGAATTTTGAGTACCGAAAAACCTCCTATTTGATAGTTGATACTCCACAGTGATTTGTTCCAACTAGATACTCACTCGGGTGATGCACGGATGAAATTTTACCAAAATGTGATTAAGTGTATTATAAAAACGCAAAAATAATTGAACTCACAATGAAGTGGTAAGTAATATAATAATTGTTCGTAGTTAAAGAGAAATTATAACATCACCGATGAAGTGTTAATGTAATTTATTTTGACATAGTCAATGTAAATATTAAAAGAGAGATAACATTTCAAACTATGAGGTGGGGAGTAAAATAATAAGTGTTCATAGTGAAATTATAAATTCTGAAAGTCTTCTTTGTAAACAACATTAGTAGTATGATCGATCTGTTTGCCAATTGTCATCTTCATCACAGATCAATATTTTCAAGCCTTTGCGATTGGTAACTCTTGACGCTGCAACGTAAAGTTGACCATGAGTGAAACATGATTTTTCTAGTAAAAGTCCAACATGCGTTAGAGATTGACCTTGACTCTTGTTTATAGACATTGCATAAGAGGTCATGATTGGGAATTGCCTTCTTTGGAACTTGAATGGTATTCTTGCATCTGGAGGTGTTAATGTCAATCTCGGTATGACTACTTCTTGACAATCAAATTTTCCTCCAAAAATTGTTGCTCCAAGAACATGATTTCCAAGCCTGGTAATAATCAACCTCGTGCCATTGCATAAGCCCATTGAATGATCAATGTTCCTCAGAAGCATAACTGGAGTACCTACCTTTAGAGTCAACTCATGATTTGGAACGCCGGATGCACATATCTTATTTAAGAATTCTGTTGTATGCAAATCTGCCAAAAAATCAGAATTACAGTCTGATTTGCAAATGCTATGAGAACTCAAATATGACCTACATTCCTCTGTGACATTCAATGCAGTCATGTACTCTTTAATTGAGTGAACAACATCAAGTGTTGGGGCCAAAATTGCACGTTCTTTTAGGAATGACGGGTCAGTCGGCATAGCTTCAAAATCAGGATACGTACTGCGTACAATTGTTGCAATAGGGTCATCACCACTTTGAAGCAAAATGTCACTTGGTATTTGTATATCAGCACAAGCATCATTTTCACCACCTGCCGTTCCATCTCCCAAACTTGTTATCCACTCAGCAAACTCAACCAAGTCAGCATAATTATAATCACGATCGTTACTAAACGATTGTAGTCTCATGTTCTTCGTTAAGCGTAAAACAATGCAGTCTTGCCATATGTATGAGGAATTAATTATGGTATTAACCATGTCTTGTCTTGTACCTTTGGTAATCACCGATAAGATTTGTCTGAAGTCTCCTCCAAAGACAATAGTTTTCCCTTCAAACGGCTTATCATTATTTAGAGGATCAACAACCTTGAGAATTACTTTAGAAAATCACTTGGCATTGAAAATGTATTTGAAACATACCTCTGCAGTATGAAAGAATACCCCATAGTAGACTTTATTGTTGTTGCTATGCTTAATTCCTTCTCTGTATGTCAGCCCAGTGTAAATGCAGTTGTTGAGCTCATAAATGAGTTGAGCTTGTATATATGCTATCATATTTCGCAGTTGGTCATTATCCAATGGTACGTTTTCTATTCTAAACAGTATTTGTATTATTTTATTGAGCAGACTCTATAACCACCCTACTTGTGCTGTGAATATGTAATGATGGTAAGACATTAATGTTTTGAGACCTGCACTATCCGATTTCTTACATGTTTTTAGAATATAGATTTAGTAGTACATTGGATTAGTTGCAATTCTAAGAGCTAAGATATTTTAGTACATTGCATTAAATGTTGTTTCATCATTAAAGCTTTGGCCTATTGGTCATCTACGAACTTGGTTTATGTGCATTGCATTAAATGATTTTTGTTTAGCCCATAACTGTCCAGTTTTTTATAACGTGTAGGTTTATATTATCTTTTTATATATTAGTCAATCCTAACTATTACTGTACTTTGTTTTATACTTATTGCACATACAGATTAAATTTTTTAGTGTAAACTAATTGAAAAAAATTGAAATACAATTTTTGAAACTGTATAAAATTTGTACTGGTGTACAATTATTTGAAATATTCAAAGCCCCTAATTTGTAGATGCCTATATTTAAGACCAAATGCTACATGTTGCACTTCAAGTAATATTAGCAAACAATATATATGTATTTACGTACACATTCATAACTATTAAGTTTTATTTATATGTATATACGACCTAATTTGATGAATATAATTGTATGTACATGAACACATATATCTTTATACACACACACACACACACACACACACACACACATATATATATATATATATATATATATATATGTGTGTGTGTGTGTTTGTGTGTGTGTGTGTGTGTGTGTAAAGATGTTGTAGCCATCGATACAACAACAACATCCAAGCCTTAATCCCAAAAGAATTTGGGGTCGGCTAACATGAATCGATCTATGATATCGATGTCAAAAAGAGAAGGCGGACAAGAAAAGGAAAAAAAAAGTAAGATAAAATGAATAAAATAAAGATACATAAATATAAGATAACAATAACACAAGAATATAACCAAGATAAAAGAAAAATAAATAAAAGAGCATAAAAAAGCTAGAAGATAAAAATAACATAAGAATATAAAAAGATAAGGAAGATAAATGATAAAAGAAACAAAAGAGGAAAGGTAAACAAGACATCAATCGTCCACATGGATGTGCGCCCTCCACTTTGCTCTCTCCAAAGCCATACTCTCATCCAACCCAAGAAGACGCATATCAGTTCTGATTACTCTAATCCAAGTCTATTTGGGTCTTCCCCTCCCTCTCTTCTCTGACTCTTCTCCCCACCCCTCAAGTCGTCTAACAAGTGCATCACTCGGTCTTCTATGCACATGCCAAACCACCGCAAACGAGACTCCTACATCTTATCTTCTATAGGTGCTACTCCAACCTTTTGTCTGATTACCTCATTTCTCAAACGATCTTTTCTGGTATGTCCACACATCCAACGCAACATACACATCTCTATCACACTCATCTTTTGAATGTGACATTGCTTCACCACCCAACACTCTACGCCATACATTAATGTCGGCCTAATTGCTGTGTGATAAAATTTACCTTTCAGTTTAGTCGGCATACATCGATCGCATAGAAATCCTGAAGCACTTTTCCATTTCATCCACCCAGCTCTGATTCTACGACATACATCTCCATCTAATTCACCATCCTTCTGAATTATGGATCCCAAGTAACAGAACATATCACACACCGGTATCTCCTTACCATCAAGAGTAATCCCACTGTTGCTACTGCTTCTACCTCCACCGAACTTGCACTCCATATACCCAGTCTTGCTTTGGCTCAGTTTGAAACCCTTGCTCTCCAATGTTTGTCGCCATACTTCCAACTTTGCTTTAACACCGGATTGTGTCTCATCAATCAATACAATATCGTCGGCAAACATCATGCACCCTGGTATATCTTCTTGAATTGACTTTGTAAGTTCATCCATGACTAAAGCAAATAAGAAAAGACTCAGAGCAAATCCTTGGTGCACTCCAATAGTAATAGGGAACTCTGCGGTCCTCCTTACACTAGTGCGGACACTTGTAGTACAAGCATCATACATATCCATGATGATGCTGATATACTTACGTGATATGCCTTTTCCAGTTAAGGCCCATCAAAGAACTTCTCGAGGTACCCTATCATATGCCTTTTCTAAATCAATGAACACCAAATGCAGATCCATTTTAGTGTCTCTTGATGGAGTATATGGCCCAGGAACCCCCGACCCATAGACTCCTACTATTCTAATGGAGGCCCAATAGGCCCAGGAAGCACAGCTGGCCCAAATCGCGGCGCCCCAAGTACTAAGCAAACCACATGGCACACTAGGGGTGCCTTCGGCCCCCTGGCCGAAGGCTCCAATTCTCACAGGATGGCCAAATCAAGAAAATAAAGTTACTGGGAGAAAACGGCGAAAATCAGTAGCCCTCGGCACCCAGAGCCTTCAGCACAAGGGGGTCCCCGGCACTCAGAGCCCTTGGCTAAACACCTGCAGCCGAGGGCACCTTTCCCGACATAATATCCGCTCCACATGCGCCTGGATCACCGTATCAAGTACGACGTCACATCCAACAGCCGCATTGAATGAGGCCACATGCGATTGCCAGCGCCAACCTGTTGAGGTGACCCCTCGGCCAATGGATGCTTGACACATGTCCCTATTTGGCATTTATTGCAACTATAAATAGCACCCCATTTCCCCATTTGTAACCAAGAAGCAAAATACGCTCACTTCTTTCTCAGCAATATAATCTCTCTCTTACTTTTGCTCTGACTTCTCTCTAATTATTCTCCGCAATAACCCCTCGGATAAGCTACCCCCCGGGTACACTATCCATCATCTCTATACTTCTCCACAACATGTCTAAGAAGGTGAATGGCCTCAGTTGTTGAGCATCCAGGCATATAACCAAATTGGTTCTCCGAAATTTTCACACTTTTACGTAGTCTTTGCTCAACCACTC